CATATAAATCTATGTTGATTCTGATAGAAAGAATCATTACAATGTGCAAACCTCTTCTTAGTTAAAATTAGTTATCTCCCCTTTGTTTCATTCAACAATAGTTTTGAGATGAGATCAGATACCCTCCACCCCCATCCCCATTATCAGGTCTGGTGCATACTACTCCTGGACACCTCAACTTGCAAACCTGATTGTGGGCCACAAACAGTGCTTTGTGACTATCACTATCTTACCAACATCTGTTTCTTTCTGAATACTTTTATATACATTACAAATTAAACTAAGCGTAACTGATTATTAAAGGATGAAAATTTTTTTCAGATTTTTACATCATTCTGGGGTCTTTTTTTTTTTGTCTAAATCCATGAATTTGTTTTGTTCATGCTAAGTTTTGAAAAAAAAACTATATAAAATTCACTATTTTTATCCATAAGGTTGAATGGGCTAAAATTATTCAACTGTTAACAAGAAAAATCTCAGGTTGATGTTAAAACTTACCACAAAACATTGTTGATTGATTTAAGATGGAATGATGTATTATGGCATGCCTTTAATTTGTATTTAGATACATTGTATTTATTTTCAATTTTTCTAGTTGAATTGTTCACTGATATTGCATATGGTCCATTATTGTACACAATTAGGTTATAATAAAATGTGTATTTTATATCAATACAACCTTATGAAAATATCATAGATGGAGGGGGGGTCTCATAGATTTGGTAGGGACATGAGAATCTTGCACTGACCCTGCCCCTCATGATCAGATAATAAAAGCCGATAACACAAATTTTTATACCATTTAGTAGTACTTCTTAAGTAGGTTACAGTTAAATGTCTGTGCCAAGTGAAAAGAGCTGACTAAGAGTGTCATATGGATGTTGCTTAGGCATCTATGACATCAGTTCTTTGGGCTGAACATTGGCAACCCTGTCTGCAATAGGGTAATATAAGGAGGTTTTAGTTTTTAGTTCCTATCTTTAACTAGGGTTCATTGACCTGTTTATTTTTTTGCCCCCCGCCTTTGCTTTAGAATGTTGGTTTTCATGTTCAAAATGAAGGAATGCTGAATGAACATTTATTTTTGAAGGTTTATTTTTTTTTTTATGAATACAAATTTTATCCTTCTTGTGTAACAGTTTGTATGTAGCTCATGGTATGTTGGAACAGAAAGAGAGAGAGACATCTCCTTCTTTGTGGAAGACAATTATCCTGATTAGTTTGTAGTGATAGCAACAAATAAATCACTAAATAACCTCTAACACTTTGTACTAGACTACATAGCAGTATGAAACCAAAATAATCAATAATTAATAATAAAAGAAAAATTAAAAGTTAAGTAATAAAATTGCTTTAAAATATAGATAAGAACAATTAAAAAAAAAATTAGATTATAAAAAAAATAGTTGAATAAATACAGAATATACCCATGATGCACCAGAACAGGTGTTTTGCTACCAACTGAAATAAAAATCAAATTTTCTTTCTCTTCATCTTCAATGACCAAACGAATCAGATATCCAGGTCAGTTCCCTGATAGAATATGTTACTACCAATAGATAAGCACACACTTTTTATCTTTGTATACATATATGTACTTTAAAAATATACAAACATTTCTCTGAAAAGTATGATAAAGCATTTTATAGTTTTTGTCGATGCTTATTTTTGTAGTATCATATATATGATTTATTTGTGATATTATAATTTCTGTTGTAGGCTGATGATGTCTTTTTAAATCCCAAAATAGCATATATATATAAAAAAGGGAAGTACATTCAGACAAGGTCAATGCATTACCAGAACAACCCACAAGTTCTTTGGTGGTGGTTAAAAGAATGAACCAGCCTGTCACACTTTCTGACAAAAGGATAAAGAGAACTGACATTGAAGCACTCTTTTCCTAGATTTATTTTGAGTTTGATAAGTGTGGTGAGTGTGAGTAGGATCGTCCTTCACTTTGATACAGGGTCTTTGATCTTTTGTTTCGCTTATCCAAGTATCTGGTTTCAGAAAAAAAGTTAGTCAATTGACTTGTTCTTAAGAAAGCTGCTATTAATGTCTAAGATGTTTTAAGGAGATGATAAGTGGGTGAAACTTTTCAGATGACTTAAGAAATATTTTATTTTATTCATTGAACTTAGCCTACTAGTTTAATTTCCATTCTCCTCTCCAGGTCGGTGACAAAAGTGGGTGTGGGATGTATTTTGCAATTTGGGATGTGATTTTTGTATCTGTTGTTGTATCCAAATGGAGGGTGTGATTGTGTGCGAGCTCGTTAGTGTGAATGATTTAATTATTATCCAAGCCAATCATTATTTCACCTGGTTAACTGTTATTTCTTTCATACTTAGGATAAAGGGGACATTTATAACTAACACTGTTTTTTTGTTGTGTAAATATAATGATGGACATAATGTACATAAACATTGGGGCAAATTTGTTAAATTGTTATTATCATTCCCCACCCCCACAAAATTTATATATATGGGGACTACTTAGGATCTTCACAGAGAATTTTGTTTGACAAAGTAAAACTAGAAGCTACTCTTGAAAATGAAATCCAATCAGTTGTTAATTGGGACAAGAAATTGCTTATAAATTTTAACACCTCCAAAATGAAATTTCTGTCCTTTAATCATCTTAGAGAACCATTTTCATCCCATGGCAGATGCTAACCTCCAGGAGAGCAACTCATTGCACCTTTTCTACTGACATGAAGAGGAATGATTATATTGAATTAACTGCTGTGACTAAGAAGATTGGTTCACTATGTCATGACAGAAAATTTTTCTCATCAGAATCCATCTTGCACATTTATAAATCAACCATTTGTCTATGCATTGAATATTGTTGCCACATCTGGCCTCATGCTCTGGCTATATATCTTGATATTCCTGACAAAATCCAAAGAAGGGTCTGTAACGTTATCAGTCATCTTGATTCAATCACTTTCTCACTGCCATAACATGGCCTCTCTCTGTCGTTTCTATAAATATTTTCATGGCAGTTGTTCTAATCTTGGTACCTCAGTTGCATGAATTTAAGTATGCTATTAGATTAGCTATTAGGTCTCTGTTGAAATAGCTAGATGCAACCATCAGTTCTATTCTAATATTTTCTTTTTCTTACACTTCTCACCTGTGAAACTCTCTTCTGGTTTCTTACTGGAATTTAATTTGAGAACCACAAATACAATATTTTACAAGTTCACAATCTAGCCTATTTTTCTAATCCTTACTCCAACCTTTTTTTGTTACTTTCAAAACTGGCTCCCAAAGCCTTGATCCTTATCAGAAATAAGAATATATTTTCTGACTAATGAGAGAGCTGGAAAATATAAAAAGGAATTCCACCACCATTATTCTTTCCCTGGTGCCATAAAATCTGGGGAAAACCTCACAGCTTGCTCACTCCAACCTTTTTCTTTGTTTTCAAAACCGGCTCCTAAAGCCTCAATTCTTATCAGAGATAAGAATATATTTTCTGATCAATGAAGGGGCCAGGAAATTTGTATAACAATTTTGGAGAGAAAATCCCCAATTCTTCTGAGCCTACCAAATCTCCATAAATTTGGAGAATCTTATTTTGGCAGTGAGAAATTGACCACCGTCTATGAGGTCGGCAATAGAGAACGCCAGTCAACTTCAGAATCAGTTTCAACAAAGAAGAACTACCTACTAAAGGGCTGTCGAGAACGAATGTTGGTCCACTATTAAAGACCAGTTGAAAGCTGCCTCCTTTCACCTACAAGACTTCTGTTGTTGACCTATGAACTCACTGAACTGCAAGATTCCTATCTACTGACATTTTCTACTCTGGCAGAAAACTGAGTGTTTCTAACCCTTAACAAAATTCTACTTGCTTAAAGAACTTTTAGGCAATCAGCCTTTTTCTGTTGTGAACATTTTCTCTTCCCTTAAATTTAAAGGACCTTTTCTTCTCCCTGTCTTTCTCTCCTAATTGTGTTTATCCCTTTACCCATTTTTTTTTGTACATGTCAATAAACATTTTCTTCTTTTATTGTTACACACCAAGCAGGAGTTTTGAGTCTTACTTTATTCGTCTGCCTAAAAGAGAGAATTTGTCCGATCTAATCTTACTGTTTTTATTCAATTTTTTTCGTAATTTTTTTAACCTCAACTTTTTCATGTTGGAAAGTCAGGTCAAATTTCCCACATTCTTGCTTTCCTGCCACCTACAATTTTTTAAAATTTTAAATTTAAATGTCAGTCGCCATCTGCCTTCCTGAATCCTGTTCTTTTAATGTCCTTTCTCTCCACCAAAGTCTTCTCATTCTCTTCCACACTTTGCATCTTAGTGGCATTATCACCTTGCCTGGGGTGAAATGATTTAAAAAAAGAAAAGAAAAAAAATAGTATATTATCATATGATTAGGCCAGTGATTGAGACTAGCTAAGTTAAATGATAGGGGAGATGAAGTCCAGCCCTTCTCTTGAGAAATACATGATGAATAAATATTTTTCACTTGTACTTCTTTCGCTATGTAGAATGTTGCTTTCTAAAACTCTCGCTGTTATCTGTCACTGCCACAGGTGTAATTTAAATTTAATCGAGGGGAAGACAGCACTATACAAGTATCTGATAAAGAAAAACGTGCTCCCAGTAAAAGCAGAAAAAATAGTGAACATAATTCATTCGAAATGACATTATTACAATTGACCAAATAAAAACAACAACTGTGGCATGGATCTTTAAGAAAATTCGACTCCTGTATTAAAAAAAAACGAAGCTTATTTTAAAAGTAAAGATTATGTAGTTAATATTTTAAAATGTGAGCATTTTTTAATTAATTATTTCCATTTGTCACTATGTCGGGTCTTTTTTTAAAAAATTTTACTGAATGTATCGTAGCTCTCTTATCAACAAAAGTCAAAATCAAGATCGAAATTGTTTTTCAACACAGGAGAGTTCAGAAATTTCGATTACAACTTAAGTAACGAAATATTATTATTGTTGTTTTAATTTAAATATTTAACATGTACCGGAATAATCGTTTTTTAACTGATAAATTGAGATATGCGTAAGTTTTTGTTTAGTCTCTTTTTTTTAACTGTAATATTAATTTTTATCCTTTTTCCGTGAAGCGTGTATCTGTTTGTTTTCAAAATTGTTTTTTTTATTTTATCTTTTCTTTTTTAGTTTTTTAAGGACATTAATTGTAAATAGTACAAGTGCAATCAAATTTGTTTTAATTACGATTATCTTGTATCATATGTAATATTATTAACATCGTTTTGTTGTTTTTAATGATTTTTTGTTTATGGAGTTATTGCAGTTTTTGTTCCTTTGAGGCGGGAAAAAGGAACGTAATTTTTAAGATTTTGAAAACAAGAACTTTTGAAAGAAAGTAGATTGCAGTGGTAAAAGCGATTAATTTAAAGAAAGCTAAAATGTAATAATACTATTACTATAATATTACACTGTGTAACTGTAGTGTACTACAGGTCTCCAAATTAACGGGCAATTTTAAAATTTTAAGTACAAGTAGTCACGTTTTTCTCTTCTTTGTTTACAAATGCAGTTAACTGAAATAAAGAATAGTGTAAGGTTAAAAATGCTCTAATTTTTGATGCTATATTGTTTGTAAGTTATTTCCCCAGTGAATGCTACTGAAAGAAGGAAAGAAAAAAAGAAAGTTGACAACAAATCTGGAATGATCAACTTGTTCGATTTTTCAAACTCCAGTTGAGATCAAATTTAATTTGGAGATTTTTTTTCTTCAAAATAATAATGGTACTGTTTTGATTTTTGAATATGGAAAGTTGTTCCCCCTCAGTATTTTTTTTTTTAAATTTTAGAAAACTAAAGTTACAAATTTGAATAGTGAGCAATATCGTTGTTTCTTAGTCCCTTTTTGGCTTAACTCTTTTTAAGTTGTAGAACAACAAAAACACAAACACACTGAAAGATTTAAAAAAGAAAAAGTATGATTTTTGGAAGTATTCCGTGTTGAGCGTGGGGGTCCCTTTTTTTTAGAATTTGCCAATAACAAATTCATGTGCTACTCAACTGTCATGGCAATAATCAGCAAACGACATTCCAAAAGAAATCCATATGCTCAACAATGTTCCGATTCTTATGTTTTTAAACAAGAAGGAAATATATTGTTACTTTTATAAAGAATTTAGGTGTCGCGGTCGCCGATTATCCGCTCCTTATTGACCTTCATCTCGATCTCGCAGATCTAGGTCAAGCAACAGGCCAAAACCGGACGGCTTCCAATATCGTTGATGTCAAACCATACCTAGTACGCATCTGACTATGTTGAGCCATTCTAAACATCGGCAAAAACTATAATTTATTATCTACGGCCTTCTACTCCTCTAGCCATACTTGAACAAATCTTTGCAAATATCCTTAGACACTTTTTTTTTTCCAAACTAGGGCAGCTCGGCCCGGAGGCCTGGATCAAAGTGTAGAATACACTACCTTTGTGAAATTTCGAGTGTTACTCTTCGGCGCGATCCTGATCCGCCCTGGAAGGTAACACCTCTCTGATCTGGCGCGATCCTGTTCCGCGGTTGAAGTTGTATTACTAGTCTGCCTTGGCCATCCGTCTTCGCCTGGTGATACACTTTGGCGCGATCCCGTTCCCGCGGTCGATCCGCCCCGTGAAACTGCCTTTAGCCCTGTTTAGGGACTCCGTCTTCGCCTGGTGATACACTTTGGCGCGATCCCGTTCCGCGGTCGATCCGCCCCGTGAAGTAGCATCACTGGTCTGCCTTGGCCCTGTTTAGGGACTCCGTCTTCGCCTGGTGATACACTTTGGCGCGATCCCGTTCCCGCGGTCGATCCGCCCTGTGAAGTAGCATCACTAGTCTGCCTTGGCCCTGTTTAGGGACTCCGTCTTCGCATTTCGGCCGAACCAACTACGTTCGCCGACCAATCCTAAACTACCGGGCCAGACCAGCTACTTTCGACCAGACCAGCTACGCTCACCTACCAATCCTAAACTACCAGGCCAGACCAACTACATTCTACCGAACCAACTACGTTCGCCTACCAAACCTAAACTACCAGGCCAGACCAACTACCGGACCAGACAAGCTACAATCGACCGAACCAGCTACGTTCGTCGATTAACCAGTTTTCGGACCACACCGATGTAAATGTGAATAAAAACGACACTTTTGTTCATAACAAAAACCTTTGCCTTTGTCCCGTCATTGTCTCGGCTGTTCACATTTATCGTATACTTAAAAACCTTGCGGGGCGACATCCTACTCGGCCCCGCAACAAGTGGTGACTTCCGACGTGAGACAGCTAAGCGATGATGGAGTCGGCTAAAAGTGATTCTTTGGACATGACGGCTGCGATCATACCTCTGCCTGCATACCACCATAATGCCAAGAAAAACGTTGCAGGTTCCATCTTTTTTCAATGCTACGCATTACTTCACAGCGAGCCAGATTCGCATAATGTAATGCAGAAACTCCCATCTGATATGATGGACGAAATTTCTGATGTCCTCTCCGATTTGCGCGAGCATGAACCGTACGATCAAACAAGGAAGTAATCCTCAAGCGAACCGGACGTTCCGAGGAAGATATGATCCAAGATACTGCGGAACGTCACTAACAAAACGCCATCCCAGCTTCAGATATATGAGGAACCAGCTGGGAAAGCACAACGTATCAGAAAAGGTTCTTCGAGGTTTATGGCTGGAGCATTTGTTTAATCTGTTGCACAAATCATCGCACCAATGACGAGAGCCACGCCTCTGATGATTTGGCAGAATCTGCTGATCTTGTTTTTGCAACAGTTCGACCATTAGCAGCAACGCTGTTCGCGCCCCGACATAGCGAAGCACGAACGCTACGAGCCTAGTAAACGGAACGGGCGTTGGCCGATTCAACGGCAAATTCCAGATCTTGCGCCCGCGGACGAGGACATCGACCCCATCTCGACGGAGACGAACCCCCAGCCGAGAACGGCGAAGCGACCAGGGTGTTTGTTGGTTTCATCGCACATTCGGCGATGAGGCCAGGAATTGTAAACCTTGTACACCCCGTCGGCCCGGGGAAACGAATAAACCGGAGAGTCGCGACGACTAACTCTTCCGGTGCCAACACGCAATGTCGTCTTTTTACGTTTGGGATCGATTGAAATTCCTGGTGGACACAGGTGCGGCCATCAGCGTGGCTACCCTTCAGAACGAGCTAAGCCCACCCTGATCAAACTACGAGCAGCGAATGGTTCCGCGATAGACACACGTACGGAGAAAGGACCCTTACTTTGAATATCGGCATGCGACGCGATTTCACGGACATTTACCGTGGCCAACGTGAAGGTACCCATCCTCGGCGCGGATTTCCTGGCGCATTACGCACTGGCGGTCCATATGAACCCTGGGACTCTGTCCGATACGACGACGAATCTCCGTGTCTTAGGGTATGTCAAGGCTCCACAGGAATCAGCGTCGCAACATGCCATGGTCGCGAGTACTTAGATCTCCTGACGCAGTTCACGGATATAACGCTGCCACTCCAAGTGGCTTCAGGTGACCATCAAACTCAGCACCACATCAGAACAGCGACGACTGCTCCCACAAACTTACGCCAAGGAGCACCCGACAAAATGCTCAGTGATGGCATCATTCGTCCTTCCGATAGCCCTTATGCCTCGCCACTACACTTAGTGCCTAAACCTGGTGGTGAAGAATTTCGGATATGCGTCGACTACCGGAAATTGAATGCATCGACCGTACCAGACCGATATCCTGTCCCTCATATCCATGATTTTGCATCCGGATTGATGGGGCTCGCATCTTCAAAATCGACCTTACCACCAGATCCCCGATCCCAAAAACGGCAGTCACAACACGTTTGGCCTATAAATTTCTAAAATGCCGTTCGGTCACGTGGCGCTGCCCAGACCTTCCAACGACTCATAGAAAACCTGCGGACTTCCGCATGTATACGCCCTATATCGACGACATCTTGGTGGCCCGTACAGACGCCCAAGTCTTCCAGACTCTTGACCTTTGAACCTTTTTTCTTGAATTTTTCGGGCACCAATAGGATATCTGCCAAGATCCGATCCGGGACAAAAGCGTCCATGAAGGTGAATTTCCTCGGCATGCTCAATTTTTAGAGAAATAAAAATTTTTCCTCCAAAATGACGAACCTGCTGCAAAAAAACAAGGACATCTCTTTGGAGGAGATGCCCAATTCCATACAGCGAAGGCTGCATTGGCGAATTATACCAAGATATCAATCCAGAGACACGACTATTCCTGAAACCGACGCATCCGGCGCTGGTGTGGGCGCGGTGGTTGACAACTCACAACGAACCCCATATTCTTTTCATTTGAGCCCAGAGAAAATATAGCACCTTCTCCCGAAATCTGGCCGCCAAGGCAACTGAAATTTTTACCATCTATAAGATGAAAGTAAAGAAACAATCTGACTACCTGTCAAAATATTATAAAGGGAAGGACAACGCCGTGACAATTATCTTTCAATCTCTTCAAAAGATTCCACCCAAAAATCCGACCACGCTGCAAGACGCCCTTCGAATAAAAGCTGAGTTCCTTCCTTCAGCGGCGACACCTTAGTACTGACACCAGCCTAGCAAGCCCTAGGCCCTACATCCCACCGGAACTTCGAGACAGGTATTCCAACATTTCCACGGCTGTCTCAAAGAAGAAGGTCAAACTTATTACCGAATTTCAAAATGCAAACATTGGAGAATGGGTTTCCATCTGTGCCACACCGACACTAAATCCCCGGTCGGCATTCAGCAGTCCCGATGCAAAGACTTAGTGGGACCGCTTCCGATTAGGTTTCTTTTTGGAATACCGCCATACCTATTAATAGCTAACACAGTAGGACCATCCTGAAAATTTTGGATTGATTTTTTTTGAAAATTAAAGGGGTCACATTTCCATCCCCTTTTTGAGTTTACTAACCTTTGGCGAAGCACATTTTAAAAAACAATTTAATGAGTTGAGAGGTTTCATCGGTCCCAAAATAATTGGACGAAATTCTCCTAGCATTGAGGAACATCCAGGATTTGGGTTGTTCACCATTTTTTATTTAATCTCCTTTCGAAAAAAATGTAATATTTTTTTGCATTTTTTTTCTTTAAGTTTTAAATGTTTTATTTGGTAAGTAAAATATATTTAAAAGTAAATAAATAATATTATTTTAAAATGCAATAAGTGATAACTTTTGCATTTTCTTTCCAGCATTGTCATATCCATCCATTTTGGTGAAGTAAAATTAATGCTGGTATTGTCATCCACTGTTGAAAGAGTTTTCAACAGCAGAGAAAGGATAAACAAAGAAGCTTACACATTCATTTATCATCCACTTACTTTGAAAATGTCTTTTTGTTCAATTTTTGTATTGTCATCACAGCAATGTTTTGAACAGATCCAAATTTGTTTCTTCACATCCAGAGACGTAAACACGGTCTTTTTGAAATTTGATTAACTAAAAAATAATCTTATTGGTTGAAAAATTTTTTTGCTGATTTTTACATTACAGAATCTTTTAGTTCAAAAACAATAGAATGTTTTGATCCAACATTCAAATTTTATTCTTTTATTGAAAAAGTCAAAAATTTTTGAAAATTAAAACAATAAACAACATATATATAAATTTTAATTATGACCCCCTGTAAATGGTGGGGAAATAAAGAAACAACCTTTTTACAGGATTATCTAGATAAGTTCCGGCATTGTCATATCCGTTCACTAGTCTTTGATGTTGTCTTTCCGGCTTTTGTATTGTCGTCTCTGCTTATTATATCCACCTTCAACAGTGCTTTGCATGATGGTCTTTCAGAGGCTTAACCCATACATCTTCTGATGCTTAGTGGCAAAAAACATTCCAGTTGACCCACAAGAAGTTTTTTGCCAAGTTATGTGTAGGAGCTTTGCAGTTGTTCTTGAATTTATTTTTTCTTCTTACCAATTGTATCCAAGTCCCACAAGCGTAGAGGTGAATTATCATGGAACTCTATTTGAGAGTTGTGATAAAAAGCAACTGAAATGTTTTCAAAATTTATAACTGACAATAAATCCATTCACCCAGCAAGACAATAATGCCATAATAAGCATCTACTAGAAGTGAGAAATTTCTATATATAAAATTCTGTGACTCAAACCATCTGTCACCCAGCATACATTGACTAATCAATACTTTGGGGAGAAGTGCAAACAGGTAAGGGGGCATAAAGTACAGTAAATAAAGTACAACAAATTTTCATTAATTTTTTTTGAAAAATTAAAAGTTTTATTATTTAACATACCATTTTAAAAACAATTTAATGTGAAAATAAAAATACTTATTTAATAAAAATGCAATATTGTTTTGCATTTTCTTTAAATATGTTTCATTTTGGTAAGAAAATATAATGCTGCATTTTATAAACAACAAAAGAGAAAGTGATAACCAAAAAGCTCTTCAAGAAGCTTTTATTGTCATCCCTGCTTGCATCCACCTTCAACAGGAATCATTCCAACTTACTAAAATAACTTATTCAAGTCACAGCAATCATCCAAGAGCAGTTCTAATTGGTCAAAAACATACAAGGAAGATTATTTGATTTAAATAAAGAACACTAGTTCTTTTTGCCAAATTTCAACACATTTTACTACATCCTACTAACCTTATTACTTCATCTGAAGTTTTCAAAGTTTTGTGAACATAATAAACTTTCAGAAATTTCAAATCAATCCATTCACCCAGCAGCTTAATCATTCCTCTTAATCAACATTCAAACAAAGCAAAGAACTTTTTTTATTAACTACATTCCAACTTCAAGTCTTTGAGAAAAGGAAGACAAATTTTACAAATTTAATGTGAATTTAATTTGACACAAACTTAACCTCTCAGTTAAACATCCTCAAACATCACACACACACACACACACATCACACACACACACACACACACACATATAGAGAGATTTTAACATTAATCAAACTAACAAACAATACAAGATTTCAATCAAAAATCTATGCTTATTACAATATATATCATTGTAATCTTCAGACAATATAAATGAAAATTGATTGTTATTCAATGCTTTTGTCTTTTCTCAGTTTATCAGTTTATTTTTGTTGAAGTATAATATAAATGTGTTGAGGATATATGTCTTTGAAAACACAGCCCAAATTTATTCTTTCAACTAAAAGTCCCAACATAACAAGTCCTCCACAACAGTGCTTTGTCTGATGGTCTTGCAGAGGCTGTTATGCTGTGTGACTTGGCCAAACCATGATGTCTTCTAACACTTAATAGTGATGAGGAGAGATTCCTGCTTGTCCACAAGACTTTTGACCTTGCTCTGGACATAGTCGTTGGTTTGGGGCTCCCAGTAGGAGATGCAGAGGAGCTTTCTCAAGCATTTGTTCTTGAATATCTAGATCCTTTTTTCTGTCTCAACCAAGGGTGTGAGAAGGTGATAGACAAGTCTTATATTTTGGAAATTTGCAGTCAGGGTTTTATTTTTGTCCTTTTCCAAAACAATTTATTGACTTTATATATTTATTAGAATTTTTTAAAACATTTGGGACCAACTGATTTCGATAATATTCATAATTACAATAAACTGCTTGCTGTCTATCATAAATTCTGTTTTGAATTTAGTGCATGTATGATGTTTGAACAAATAAATTTTTACTTTCATGTGAAATTTTACTTTGTAGGAAAAGAACAACAACAAAACGAGAATTTAATTTCATACCAATAAATCCAGAATCCGTAAGTAAATTAATTTTGCACATGTACATAAAAGTCATGGCAAACATGGATAAACATGCTTGCAATAAGATAGTGTCAAAAGAATGGTTTTTCCCTTGACACCACTATTATCTTAACTACCTTCACTCTTGTTTATTGTTTTAAAAAGTGATAATTAGAATTGGAATAAAACTTAAACACATGATGAAAATGAATTTATACATTTTTTTTGTCCTTGAGAATTTATAACAAAAATATTATGCACTATTTATTTGTTAGATTGTTTATTTACACGAATAATCTTTCCTCTATGGTACCTAGAATTTATAAATTTTAGTTCAGTATTAGATTAGAAACAAGGTCTTAGCAATTTACAGTTGAATTGGCTAGGCGTAATCGTTAGTTCTATGCTAACAGTTTCTTTTTCGCATTTCTCGCCTGTGGAACTCTTTTCTGGCTCCATACTTTCTAGCCAACTTTGATCTTCAAAAATTTAAATGCAATGTCAATTGTTATCTATTGTCTTCCTGATTACTCTTCTATTGTTCTTGCTCCTTAAAAATGTTTCTGTTTTCTAATTCTTTCACACTCAGTAATCCCTTGTGTCTTATTTGCTTTATTGCTTTGCATAGGGTGAAATAATCAAGACATTGCACTTAACTACAATCATGACCATATTTAACCTGAAGGCTTCCACGGTTTTGCAATTGTGTATCTTCTGTCAGCTAAAATGAGAATGTCATTCAAAGCAGCAGCTGACCTGCCACTGTGGGGCTTGTCAATAAGTTTTTCCTTTCTTTCTAAGATTGCCTTGAACTCTGTTGACCTTACTTCTAGAATATGCTTATATCAAGTGCAAAATTTCAATAAACATTTACTAATCTCTTGTAAATGTTTGCAGCACTTTCTCCTTCCTTCCAAAAGTTGGAATTGTAGGATAGTTTTTTTTATTTTCTATGTATGTTTTGAAAACAGTCATTTTTAAAATAGTTTATGAGTAGGTAACTCCACAAATGTTTTCCTTTGTGCTTCTGAAAACTTTATGGTTTATTGCTTGAAAAAAGATTAAAAAAAAAAAATTCTGAGTAATACTTTTAAAATTAAATTCAAAAAGGCTTTAAATTTTGAATAACTCTCAAATGTGACCAAATGTGGTGGAAAAGCTAACCAGGCAATGACAATGCCTTATAACAAAAGCATTTTCAAAGAAGTACTGAAAATTGTAAAAAAAAATGCTTTTTATTAAATATTGGTATTTTTATTTTCTGCTTGAAATCTTCATTCACTTTTTAAGATTAATTTAAAGTCCCTTTTCATTATTTTCTTTTCAGGGCGATGCTCCAAATAAAGAGAAAGGGGAAACTGAACAAACATTTGCTTTATCTCCTCCAAAATGGGCCTCCAGTCCTCGGGACACACCAAGTATGTTTTGAGCATTTGTAGATAAACCTTAAAAATTATATGTAGAGATAGAGAGAGTGAGAGTGTGTGCACGATGGGTAAATTGTCATCTAAATTATGCAAAAATGAAAATAACACTGGCATCTCATTTTAACATATATTTACCACAATTACACAAAAGTATCTTTAAATCCTAAAGAGTAAATATATTCAATAAAATTGCCATTGGCTTCAACCCCAGCCCCCAGATGACTTCAGAATCTCCTGCATCTCTTCTGGATGGTCTCCTTGTTTAAGTTGGTGAATGCTGCCAAAATTCTGTCAAAATTCTTACCTTCAGTTTATCTTTGTTACAAGGAGTTTTGTTGGTCTCTTGCTCAACTGCACTCCACACATAATAATCAAGGGGGTTGCAGTTATGTGGCCAGATGTAAGGGGTTATGTGGTTGTAGAAATTGTCTGACAGCAATGACTAGGGTATCCTGCTAGTGTGGCATGGTGCAGAATCTTGTTACCAAACATTGGGTCTTCCAGCAGCCACCCTCTTGACCCAGGGCAGCACTACCTCCTCAAGGCACTTGATGTCGGCCTCCTTGTTGAGTTTGAGGCCCTGTGGGAAGATGAATAGAGGCATAATGTCACCATCACTAGTGTTCATGTCAAACACCTTCATAATTGCCATTAGACTCATCTAATTCTTTCTGAATGTTCTTCACTGTCCTCAGATTGACACCCCAAAACACTGAAATGTTCATATTGGAGCTTCCAGTGCAAATACCAACCAGTACAGCATGCCATTTTTAAATTTCTGGTGGAGTGAATTGCATCATGGTGTTCTTTTTCTCATAGATGGTGCTCAACTGACATGCATGCAAAAAATTAAAATATAAAATGCCGACAATTTACCCATACCACCCTCTGTGTATTTATTTGTGTGTGTGTATATATATATATATATATATATATATATATATATATATATATATATATATATATACACACACACACACACATGTGTGTATATATATTCTACCATAATATATGATGACATTATAACAAATAAGACAGGCATGTAGATTTAATAGGCTGATTAATAAATTTTGAGGAATAAAAAGCCAACAAAATGATGAAAAGATTGGCCATAAAATTGTTGATATTTATTATATATTAATCCTGATGACTAAATTGAAGCATGAAGAGAAAGATTTTAAAGTTGGAATTTTTGGACACATCTATGTCCTTTTTTTTTCAACAATACAAGGAATAAATAAACAAGTGGGAAATTTTGTGGTTGGTTAGAGGGCTCCCTGTGAAATTATACTCTCTGAGTAAACCCAAATCCTTGTTTAATCCCTCAATGTGTGATTTTATTTTGAAAATATATTTCAACTCTGATCTGCATCTTGTTGGCTGTGAAGACGCTAAAAATATGCATCTGAGGTCATCAATGCTATGAAATGGTTGGTTGAAGTGTGCAATGACAGAAATTGTTATTGTCTTTGATGGGGATTTTTTTATGGTTATTGAACAGAAGATGGAATTCTGTCCCAGTTTCTCCAAAATAATTTCCTTCTTTGCATTTGTGGCAGAAAAATAAATATATAAGATTTGAATTGTAACAAGTCAGAGCTGGTGGTTTAAATATTGTGAGTGGTAGATGTGAAATCTCTATCAGTAATGTTTGCAATTTCACACTGAGTGTCACTCACACAATATTCAAACCACTGGATCCCCACATATGACCTAATGGATAAAAAGCATTAGTTGAAGTAATCCAGAAGTGACTTGAGCCAAAGAGTTGTGAGTTCAGTACCTGACGACAGCAGAGGTGAACCAAAAACTTTGAGACTTGAGTTACTCAAGGGAATTAACTGAAACTGAGATATCCAGAAAAAGCATGGCACGTGGAATTAGAACAGTCTATCCCAGTGGGCTATATAAAGGGTTTGGTTTGAAATTCCAACATATATCACCTGATGAAGGCCGGAGCGTACAATAAATATGACAATAAAGATGAGGACAACATTCCAAACAATGTAAATAGTGGAAATAGTTACAATACCTCATCTGAGAAATATAGATAAATGGCAAATTGGTTAGCCCAAAAGTACTCGGAATGGACTATTTCTACACTAACTAAAACTAAAAAAAAAATCACTTGTTTGTATACAATATAAAAAATACAATAAAAATCTTAACAAAAGTACCCTGTTGGTCATTTTTAATTAAATTTGCATCTGTCAGTTAGCTATGTCCCATGTGTGATACACACTTAGGCGATCATGTATCAAAAGATACAGGACTGATGATGCAGATTTTTTCCTGCAGTAGGTTGCCAATTCTTTCTGCAGTAGGCCAGTTGCATAGAAGGCTATAGAACCTGATCTGTCCTGCTATTTACCTATAGCTGGGGGGAGAAGAAGAGGATTTATACCTTTCCTAAGGGTATTAGCACATAAGTGAATGCAATGGATTTGACTAGAATTCAAACTCGGCTCTCCGATTCCTCAGTCCGAGCTGCTATCCATTACCCCACTGTGCCCCAACATCTGTAAAAAAGCAAATACATTTTGGCAATACTTAAATTAACTAGTCTGTTAATAAAAAATATGTAAAAATGTTTTTGATTTTTTTTTTTTTGTAATAACTTTTGTAGACCTTCTTGGGGCCATGACATTTGTTAGAATAAAAAACTTGGTAATGTTTAACCTTTGTGCCTGCAAAAAAAAAAAACAGCATGTCAAAAGGTTATTTTTTTTGACAGTGCTATTACTGTATGCACTTTTGCTTATTGGAAATATTAAATTTAATCTATTAGCTTGGAATTAAAGCAAAAAGTTCAAGAAAACTTTTAAAAATACATTTTAAAACTTACATATTGCTTCTTTTTTTCTCTTGGAGCTACCAAGTTATATTCAAGAAAATATAACATAAAGCTTACTGACCACTTCTTCTGCTTACAGAAAAATGGCTGGTAGGACTTAATGTATATTGATTTCAAAACTTTCATGACTACATTGAATTAATTGCTTGGTCAGCTGCTAAGAAAGTTGGTTCACTCTGTTGTGTTAGACGACTTTTCTCTTCAGAATCTTACATCTTTATAAGTCTACCATTTGTCTATTGCTTAGAATACTGCTACCACATATTGTCCAGTGCTCCTGGTATATATCCAGAGATCCTTGGTAAAATCCAAAGAAGAATCAGTAATATTATTGGTTTTCATCTGGCATCTTGGCTTCAGTCATTTTCCCACCACCATAAAGTTACTTCCCTGTACCTTTTCTATAAATACTTTCATGGTAATTGTTCAGATGAGCTCTTTGCTATGGTACCAAGACTTTTTGAATTTAAGTGCAGTACTAGACTGGCAATTAGGTATCACCATTTTACAGCTGAGTTGGCTAGATGTAACCATAAGTACTATACTAATAGTCTTGCACTTATCGCTTGTGGAACTCCCTTCTGGCTCCATGCTTTTCAGCAAACTTTAATCTTAAAAAATTTAGATATAATGTCAATCACTATCTACTATTCTCCAGATTACTCTTTTTTTTTTTTCCTCAGTCCTTAATAATGTTTCTGTTTTTCTAATTCTTCCACACTCATTAATGCCTTGTGTCTTAGTGGCTTTACTGCTTTGCTTGAGGTGAACTTGAATTAAAAAAAATAATAATAATATTCAAAATTTGCCCTGCAAAACACTCAGGACATATCTGGACTATACGACAGCACACTACTGGCCTTTTATCAAGTGTTCAGTTATTGCTGAAACTGTTGTGTTTATGCATCTATATGCATCTATGTAAATTGTCCACCTTTCTCTTGTGAATAATTTTATTAATAATTGAAATTAATTCAACAAAATACAATTTTTTTTATTCTTGAGAATTTACAACAAAAATATTAAACACTATTATTATTTATAAGAATAGTTTTATATTTACAGCATTCTAAAAAGTAATGCAATGAGAACCAATTCAATGCAATATTTATCATTTACCAATATATCTATATAAATAATGTGCAGTGTATGTGTGTCCATCTGTCCATTTTTCGACCTTGGTGAATCATAAACAACCTGAACTAAGAGGTAGTAACTACCGTAGTTATACATGATTAAAAAATTTAATAAATAACTGATTTAAAGTTAAATTTGATTACTGAACAGAGTGAAAGGTTTAAACAACTCTTTATTAAAGGTTTAAATTTAATTTCACTTTTCCTCGCAATTGATATCATCTAAAAACTGTAATTAAAACTTAAGTGGGGCACAGCACATTGCTCATATATATTTTTTTTCTTTTTCTAGTACATGTACTGTGATATATTCAAAATATTACATTGTTCTAAGAGTGACTTTATGTCAAGGGATCATAAAGAATGGTGTTTTTAAAAGAAAATAAAAATTGCGCACAAAATAAATGAAAACAAACTACAGAGATTGGCTGCATATACGAAGAAAGATTATTTCTAAATTAAGGTGTCAAATAAAGATAAAATAATTGAATTATTTCTAATACTTATAACTTTTACGTATCTTTATAAATTTTATCTTTTGACAAAAATCAAACATGGCTGTGAATGCAGTTCATTTAAAAGTTAAAAAAAATGGGATTTTCTAGTCAGTTAGGGACCAATACACATGGACAATGTATAGAAAACAAACACAAAATGTAAATTTATATTTAAGTTAATGTAATAAAGATATAGAGGGGAAGAAGAAGAAGAAGAAAATGATAAACAAAGAATTGGAGAAGGGAAAGAAAATATAAAAAATATTGTCAGTGGTTACTTATCTATTGAATCATATTATCAATGATTTCATTAATCATTGTTTCTTTTTTCTTTTTCTTTTATGAATAGTTTGGAGTAGATAGATCTTGTGTTGTCTGGATTGAGATATTTCCCTTCATATATAGTAGTATTACAGTCATTCGACATAGTTTATTGGTTTGGTTATCATTCTGAAAGCATTTTGCTTTTATTCAGGGAAGATATAGGCTATTCTGGTTTTGGAGTTCCTGATCATCCCGGAAGATTTCAACTTTCTGTCTCTGGAAGATAAACTTATGTAAGATCCAGCCCACAGAGAAATAAATGTTTTCCCATATTCTTGATGCAGTGGTTATGATCTTTCTGACCAATTAGTGCAGAGATGCACCCAATCGTTGAACACTACGTATGAAATTAACAATTCAACCATTGAACCAATTCAAAGGCGGTCCAGGCTGTATTTTTAAGAAATAGAAAGAAAGAATTAAAAAAAATTAAAGAAAAATTGAATAATTTTAAGGTGGGGATTTATATTTGATATCAATAAATAGGGTTAAGTCACATTACATAGAATGCTGAACGTAAAAGGCCAAAACTCAAAAACCCTAACCCGCCAGAGCTAGCTTAAAGTCAACTCAAGGGGCAGCTTCTGGGCTAGTAAAGAAATAAATGTGAAAAAAATCTTTTATTCATAAATTGATAAACATTTACAAAAATTATTAAATATATGAACCAACTATAAAAAAATCTTTATTATTTACCATTTTATAAAGTTTGAATCTATTTGCCAACTATTTCAATAAACATTATAATAAGTAGTGTAAATAAACAATGTAATAAATAAATAGTGTTTATTTAATTTTGTTGTTAATTTTACCATTTTATAAAGATTGAATCAGTTCGGAATTACCTGATATTTTGCCAACCATTTCAATAAACATTATAATAAATAGTGTAAATAAACAATCTAATTATTTTTTAGATTGTTTATTTACACTATTATAATGTTTAACCATTTCAGGTTGGCAAAACATTGGGTAATAAATAGCGTTTATTATTTTTGTTGTCAATTCTCAAGAACAAAGAAAATGTATAAATTCACTTTCATATCTTCGGGTTTTATTACAATTCTAATTATCGCTTTTTAAAAACAATAAACATTGCTGAAGAGTAGTTAAAAAAAAGTGGTGTCATTTGAAAAACTGTCCTTTTGACACTCTGTATTATTGCGGACATGTTTATCCATGTTTGCTGATTGCTTATATGGCAATTTTAAAAATTTGAATTAAAAATAAATAATACAGAGGAAATATATTAAAATATGCTTTTAAAAATTGTTATGCAAATTAAATGTTACCAGTAATGTTGTAAATATAGTTTGTTAGTCATATATAAAGCTGATATTCATAAATTCATGATGTGTTAATGAAATGGGCTGTTTTATTTGACTGATGTCAGATGGGGACACACAGACAAAATTTAAACATTTTTAAGAATTTTTAAAAGAATAAATGTGCCTTGTGGGTGTAATGGATATTGGCTTCAAATGTAAAATTGGAGAGCCAAGTTTGTTACATTCACTCATACGTAAATACTTTTGGGAAAGGCATGAAACCATCTCTTTTTCTCCAGCCATGGGTAAATAGCAGGACAGACTAAGTCATATTGCCTTGGTTGAGAACTAGTCTGTTGCAGAAAGAAACGGCAATCTACTGCTGAAAAATATTCTGTCTAATCAGTCATGAATCAAAAGAAAGCTTACGGTCATGTCATGTTGAAACATTGGTTCCTGCATGTTCACTAAAGTTAAACAACATCAAGCTTGGTCAGTACATAGATGGGTGACCGCCTGGGAATACCAGGTGCTATAAATTTAGATGTGCAGGTGGTGTAATTGATATTGGCTTTGAATTGTTAATTGGTTGGAGAGCTGAGTTCCAATTCCAGTTGAGTTTGTTATATTCACTTATGTGCAAATACCTTTGGGAAAGTTATAATTCCACCTCTTCTCCTCCAGCTATGGGTTGATTAGTAAGATTTGTATCACTAAATTATCTCAAAAAAATTTTTTACAATTAAAAATATTTTCTGGCTTTAAATAACCTGCAAAGGGTTGATAAGCCATAGGAAATGAATCAGTCAATCAATGAAATACTGATTAACTACACAAGCATGTCTTTTAGATTTATTTACATTCTCTAAGATATAAATGTATAGAAACTACTGTGACCGCAAAATGATGGATCAGTTTACATATTTATTGTAATATAAAATTTATCCCCCACTTTATATCCATGTTATAATTTCTTGTTTCTTTATCAAATTCTGATTAGGTATGAATCCACTTCTTCTTTTTTCAGAGTTAATTAGTAACACTTGAATCACTTTAAATCACAAAGCTGTAGAACATGAATAAATCAAATAAATGAATTGAAAGACTGTAAAAAGACAAAAAAATGTTCAAAAGTATCAGCTTGTCAGTTTGTTAATGTGTTTGTTTTTCATTACAGGTGGATCACAGAAAAAAAGGAAGAAACTACTTGTCGATATATCCCTTATTGAGCCCATCTCTGGACTGAAAGTTTCTGAACCTAAGCAAGGCACAGAACAAGAAGATCCAACTATAAATTTAGCAGCTCTGCGGGCAACAGAACTGAAAGTGCAAAAGCCAAGTACAGAAGGAAAAGCTTTTCCAAAAGGTTCTGCTCAGAAAAGCAGTGTTAAACTTACGAGAGATTCTAAAAACAAAGATGGCAATGAAGAAGAATCTGAGAAAGCCTCAACCAATATTCAAAGTGCCAAAAAGAACACAGACTCTAAAGCTAAAGAAGCCGAGACAAATTCTGATTCCACTACCAAAACAAAATCAAGTGCATCCAAAATATCAGCAAAGAAAAAATCTTCTTCAGATAACGACTCTGGAGAATCTGGTAGAAAAAGCCGACAGTCAAGCCGAAGGAGTAATAATTCTGATTCCTCAGAAGTTTTCAAATCTCGGAGATCAAGAAATGGTAGTCGGTCATCAAGAGTGGAAGAATCTGAAAGTGAAATTCCCAAGACATCAAAAGTTAGCTTGTTTAAGAATTTTAAAGAGTCAAAGGAATCAGGAGGATCTACTAGTGAAGGTTTTTCATCAAAAAGGAAACTATCTGAAACACAAGATAAAGTTCAAACCATTAGAGATGAAAAGGTTGCAACTATAAGAAAATACACTCAGAGGTTAAGTGAATCGAGAAAATCAGGGCGTGAGTCTGGAACTTCGCCTGATGAGGATTATCTCACCAAAGGAAAGAGAGTAAATAAGAAATCCAGAGATTCAGTAAAAAGATCAAAAGATGAAGATCTATCAAGGGCAAATAAAGCAGCTCAAGTGTTCACAAAGTCTGAAGATTTGGTCACTGCAAATGCAACTTCTGCACAAAAAAGAAAATCTAGTGGTTCAGAAAAATCTACTGATGGTATACCACCCAAAATCAGGAAATCATCTGATAGTGACTTAGCAAATAAAACTGAAAAATCCATTACTGGACAGCTCACAATTAAAGAAAAACCTATCACAAGAGCCAGTAGTTCAGAAAAGTCTGACACTGAAGGCCGAAAAATTAAAGCAAAGCCTATTACGAGAGCCAGTGGTTCAGAAAAATCTGATGCAGAAGGCCAAAAAATTAAAGCAAACCCTATTACGAGAGCCAGTAGTTCAGAAAAATCTGACACTGAAGGCCGAAAAATTAAAGCAAAGCCTATTACAAGAGCCAGTAGTTCAGAAAAGTCTGACACTGAAGGCCAAAAAAATAAATTGAGACCTATCACAAGAGCCAGTGGTTCAGAAAAATCTGATGCTGAAGGCCAAAAAATTAAAGCAAAACCTATTACAAGAGTCAGTAGTTCAGAAAAGTCTGACACTGAAGGCCAAAAAACTAAATTGAGACCTATCACAAGAGCCAGTAGTTCAGAAAAATCTGATGCTGAAGGCCGAAAAATTAAAGCAAAACCTATTACAAGAGTCAGTAGTTCAGAAAAGTCTGACACTGAAGGTCAAAAAACTAAATTGAGACCTATCACAAGAGCCAGTAGTTCAGAAAAGTCTGATGCTGAAGGCCGAAAAATTAAAGCAAAACCTATTACAAGAGTCAGTAATTCAGAAAAAATTGCTGAAGTAACATCCTTAAAAACCAAAGACTCTAGCACATTTAAAAAATCCACCCATGAAATCCCCTCCACTAGTGGAATAATCTCCCATACAAACGACAAGTCAGAGATATCTGCTGGTGAGGGCCCTTCTAAACCTCAAAAAGTCTATGAAATCTTTCGAAGTAAATCTTATCAGTCAAAACCTACAAAATATAAAGAAACACAGAAATTTGCCTCTCAGGTTTTTGATATAGATTTCTCTAGTGATGATCAGTTGTTCAGTCCTCAGAAATTGAATGTTTCCCGCCAACAACTTACATCTAAAAAAGGTGCAAAGTTCAAGAAAACTACCAAATCCAAGCATAAGAAGACTACCTCACAGTCGTCAAGTGATGAACAGTTATTTAAGTCCAAGAAGTCTAAGGTTTATAATCGTAAAATTTTATCGTCGGATAGAAAGTCAAGAGCTAAAATTGTTAAATCCCAAAAAGTTGATAGTGCAAAATTGAATAAAGATAAACTTAAGAAATCCCTGGAAAATCTCTCAAAACTTCACAGTCAGCAGACATGCAGAACGTCTCACAGTGAGTCCGATTCGGAAGAGATTTCGTCTTCAGTAAAAAGCTCAAAGAAGTCTAGATCAAAAAAGAAACCAGAAGATATTTTCCAAGATATTAGTGGAGAAATGTCTGAAGAAATTCCTCTGGTAAGTGTTTTTGTGGTGTTTCCTTAATCTTTTTTTTTAATGTTTTATATTTAATTAGTTTTTTTTCTATCTGTTCTAATCATTCAATATCTAATTGAACAGGATATGTCCTTTACCTAAATTTATTCATTTTTTTACAGCTTATCAGCTTTTTGCAGGTTATTTAATGACAATATTTTTAGATTGTAAGAATTTTTGCGGGGGTGGGTGGGTAATAATGGTTTAGTGATACTAATCTTCTTAATTAACCCATAGCTTGGGGAAGAAGTGGATTCATAGATCATCAGAATTTGATAAACAAACAAGAAATTATAATGCGGATATAAAGTGAGTGATCAATTCTACATTACAATCAATATAAAACTGATTTCTCATTTTATGGCCATGCTAGTTTCTATCCATTTATAATCCAGAAAATGTAAATAAATTTCAAGATATTCGTGTGTAGCTAATCAGTATTCTATTGATTAATTGTTTTATACAGTTTATCATGGCTGAAACTAGAGTGGAGTTCGAATTCCAGTCGAGTTTGTTAGATTCATTTACGCACAGATACTCTTGGCAAATGCATGAATATCTCTTCTCTCCCCAGCTATGGGTTGAATAGCAGGAAAGACAGTGGATTTTTTAGCCTTGGTAGGCAACCAGTCTACTGCAGAAAGAAATGGCAACCTACTGCAGGAAAAAATCTTACCTCATCAGTCATGTATTGAAAGGTACATAATTGCCCAAGCTTGTATCACGTATGGAACATAACTGACTAACAGTTTATCAACCTTTTTCAAATTATTTAATGCCAGACAATATTTTTAGATTGTAAGAATTTTTTTAATTAGTTATTTTCTGAAAACTGTAAGATAGATTCTAGCAAGAAAAATTGTCAAGCATGACACAGTGAACCAACTTTTATAGCAGCAGGCTGAGCAATTGATTCAGTATAATCCTTTCAATTTAAATCCATGGAAAACATTAGATTTAATACAAAGATAGATAGATAAAAGCAAAAAAGAAAACAGTTACAGGCATTATTGTAATAAAAATGGATATTTTTAAGGAATTAATGGATTTTGATTTATAATCTGACATCATCTCATTATTATGTATGTTAATATTTTGTAGATACACCTGTTTGAGATGATGTCTTTGTTTTTAAGCATCATAATTTTTGTCTATCAGCCTGGGTTTTTTGAGAACCTTTAATAAAGATGCCCCCCCCCCATCCCGCTGGCAGGGTTTGAATCTGCATATCCCTTATGCCAATGAAACTCCCATATAGCCTGGTGTTATTTTAGACCACTTAGCCATGCAGGTCTTCATGGCAAAGTAAGGTTCAATTACCTTTATAAAGGAAAGCATACCTCTTGTTAAGAACATTTCAAAGCTGAAAAGATAGATTCTGGCAAGAAAAAAAAATGTCTAGCTCGACACAGTGAACCAACTTTTCGAGCAGCAGACCTAGCAATTGATTCAATATAATGTTTCCACTTCATGTTAGCAAAAAAATGTTAACCCAAGAAAGTGCCATGAATCACTCTCCTGTACGTTAGCTTCAGCCATACTAATGGAAGGTAAAAAAAAGATTACAGGAGGAGAGGAGAGTGTTAGTTGAAAGAGGAAAGTAGGTTGCATTATGGGTGAGTGGTTGAAGCATAAAAGGGATGAGATAGTAAAATACATTAAGAATTGGTTGGATTCATTTGTCCAAGCTAATTCTGCTAATGACTTGATCTTTTAAGTACTGAGATCAATTTTTTGCAAGCATGGCTAAACCTGATCCCAATAAGACATAGTTTCAAAAGAATGGTTTTTCCCTTGACACCACTATTATTTTAACTACCTTCACTCTTGTTTATTGTTTTAAAAAGTGATTATTAGAATTGTAATAAAACCTAAACATATGAAAATTAATTTATAAATTTTTTTTATTCTTGAGAATTTACAACAAAATATGAACCAATATTAGGTTGTTTATTTACAAGAATAATTTTATATTTACAACATTCTAAAAACTAATACAGTTAGAACTAATGTGATGCAATATTTATCATTTAACAATTTATAAAGAAAGAAATATGAAAACAATTTTTTTATTCTTAAATTGATAAACATTTACTAAATTATTAAAATATGTGAACAAACTATAAGGAAATCCTTATGATTTACCATTTTATAAAGTTTGAATCAATTGCCAATTAGCCAATGTTTTGCCAACCATTCCAATAAACATTATAATAAATAATGTAAATAAGCAATCTTTATTATTTTTGTTGTCAATTCTCAAGAACAAAGAAAATATATAACTTTTATATGTTTAGGTTTTATTACAATTCTAATTATCTCTTTTTAAAACAATATATATTGCCAAAGAGATACTTGAAATAGCTTTTTCATAGTCTAAACTGTCGTTTTGACACTCTCTATTATTGTGGGCACGTTTATCCATGTTTGGCTTTTTTTAAAAACATTTTCTGCTCTGTTTTAATGAATTGCTTGAATAGCATCTATGCAGTTCATTTGTGTTATTCATTTATAGTAGTTAATTCCTAATCTTTGTTCTCAAATGATTTCAGCAAGACAAGCCTGTCATCACAACTTTTGCTGGTTTGCCCCTGTCAGACAGTGAAAAATATTCAACTGAGGAAAATACAGAGGATGAAGAAACTCTAAGACTCGAGGAAAGTAAATTGAATTTGGAAAACATTTTCAATTCAAATAAAGTAAAACTGAAAAAAATCTTTGGTAAGGTCATTGTTATTCCAAATAACTGTTTTTATTTTATTTCTTTTTACTTTTTTTTTTTTTTTTCCTTTTTTTCTTTTTTCTTTTTTTCTTTCAAGTAATGTTGAATATGTTCAACAATGTTGTCTTTATTTTCATGAGAAGAAATGTGGCAAAAGAGAAAGTGACTTACCAAGAAAAAATGGCACATGTATTCTCTGTACAATATGCCAAAGACAGAATAACCAAAATAGAAACAAGACAGTCGCAGTTATGGCCATAAAGGCTTCTCGGATATGCTAATCTTGTGTGTCCTCTCCCACCAATCGACCAATGAATAAAATTGTTCCATCAATAAAAGCGGTTGGTTTTCTCAAATTGGGAAGTCATTTTATTTTTTTACCTCGTCTGTCAGCTTTTACAAGTGATTGTTGCCTTGCGCGTTGGATTTCTGGCCATTTACGTCTATTGGGATTTTTGACATTGTACCTGTGATTCATGATTTTGACATTTCTTTCCACCCCTGGATTTTCCAGTTTTGGATTTGCAATTTGTTTATTTTGTTTTGTAATTGAACTGCCATATCAATTTCTGAACTAAATGAAAAAAAAACTTTTGTATGTTCGTTATTGTTAGACATCTTTTTCATTTTCATTAAAAGAAAGCCATAAACGTCAGTGGCAGACGGGCCAAGGCTACAGCTTGCCAGATGACAATTGGGCCTCTGATGTAGTGTCCCCCCCCCATATGATAAAAATGCAATTAAGAAACAAATTACAAACAACTAGTAATAAAAAGGAATAAGAAAAAAAAAATGAAAGAACATAATACAAAGGGGCAATGTATGAAGAGGAACGCTACAGGGGAGGTAGTGTAAGGATGGAGAATAAGGGGCAGTCTCTCAGGTATAATTAAGGACATTCTGTGTCTTCAGCAAGAGTTTGTGAATTTAAAGATAAAGTTACAATTTGTAATTTGAGATGGATGGCAACTTTAAAGAATGTCAAACAGTAGTCTTGGTTCAGTCTATCCAGGAGCAGGAGAGCCAAGACCCACAGGCATGTCAACCTCTGAAGGACCCTTAAAATGATAATTAATTAGATCAATAAAACTCCAACTTCTTTCCTGAGTTTTATATTGTAACTTAATAAAATATAATTGTTATTCAAAAAGAGAAATACCAAATAAAAATGCAATAAAGGAACACAAAAATAACATATGCTTAGTGTTAACGAAGGGATGAAGCAGTGTTAACAAAGGGACGAAGTAGTGTTAATGAAAGGACGAAGCAGTGTTAACAAAGGGACGTAGCAGTGTTAATAAAGGGACGTAGCAGTGTTAAATGGATGTAGAAAAGAGTGGAGTTGCAGTGGAGGGGAGCGCTACCCTTGACCGTAAATCATAAGGTCGAAGATATTGAAGTGATTAGACCCAGTTCACCATTATTTGTATCTCCCATTTATTAGGCTTGTATTTCAAGTTCTCTGATGGATACTTTAAAAAATATAATTGTTTTTAAAAAAAGGAATGCCAAATAAAAATGCAATAAAGGAACAAACAAATAATCATTGATTGTATAAATGGACAAAGTAGCGTTAAATGTAGTGGAGGACGTCTGATTTTATTTATTTCTTATGAAAATTAAATGATAGCTTTGTAGTTGTGAATTGACCCTCTTTGTCTCCTTGCAAGCAATATTTTTAGTCCCGGTCTACCATTGTTTATGTCTAATTGTAGAACGGAATGGTAGTTGAACTTTATTGCTGCACTTCTATTAAAAAAATATATATATATATATTGACATTTTTTTTTTAGTTTTCAAAATTTATTACTACTTGTGTTTCATTTTTTTTAAAAATTAGGACTCTATTATTTCTGTCTGAATTTCTGGGATGATACATCATTATTTACATTATTTATATTCAGACTATTGTCCTTATCTCTGTTGTTGTTATCACAATGTTTTGGCTGTTGCGCCCCACTGCCACCCTCAGGTGTATCTTGATCTGGGTAACCTACAGGGAATTTTGAACTGAACCCTTTATTTAATCTGTTCTCATTCCACTACTCATATCTAGGGGTATTGTCTAGTTTTATTCAGTACTGCTCAGTTGTTACTTGCCCATTTCCACAACGTACACAATGCCTGTCCCAGGGATTGAACTCACAACTAAGTGGAAAAGGGTTGAATTCAAAGGAAGAGTTACTGAAAAAAATTCCCTAGTTCAGATTTTTTTAAAAGGAACAATGCAAAATGAAATTGCAATGTTTTTAATTTTAGCAATATAAAAAAAATCAAAGATTTTACAATTATTCCATTTTTACAAGTATTTTGTGTCTGTAATTTTAAACAATTTTTTTTTAATCCAATATTATTTCTTATTACTATAAATTGTATATTTTGTGGGTGTTTGAGGTTTAAGTAGACGTCCATGTTTTACTTTAATAGTGAAATTGACATTTACCGGTTTAGGTGATCAAAAAAAATTGTCAGCTTAATACAGTAATTTTTCATTTTAATTTTTTTTCATCTCTTCCTAGTTTGGCTGAGAACTTTTCAGTACACTCATATTACACTAATACAGTAACTCTTCCTTTGAATATTCCTTCTTTTTTTTTTTTTTTTCTTTTAGTTGGGTTGAGAACTTTTCAGCACATACTCATATTACAGTAATTCTTCACTTGAGTTTTATTTTTCACCAGATACCTCCCAGAAATTGAAAGTAAATCTTCTACAGCCTCACGAAAGTGGCAGTAAGCAGTATTCAGTCACCCATCTTGATATTCTGTGGAACTTCTTAGAAAAAACCTTACACACAATTATGTAAGTTGACTTATGTGATTTCTTAAGAGTTAGATTTTATTGAATGTGTGTTGCAATGTATTAAAAGTGTGGCTTAATTAGACAATTAGCTTGAATTTGCTTGTATATGTGGCATTTGTCAGTGTCAAGAGACCCTGGATCTGCACCTCAAATGTTATGTGTCAGCTGCAACTTCTGTCATGGCTGTACTGGCCCACACAGGAGTGATAGTCTCAATTACAACCAATGCTTGTGAAGATGAAAATATATCACTGTGTTGTTTTCTTTCCTTTGAGCACACTTCATCCCAGTGACAAGCCTCCATTTCTTCTTTTCTCATTTCATCATTTTGTATAAATCGTTTCTCCAGTGTGAGCGATTGTTGGTGATGTCTTCCCACCCTTTGATGTCCATCACCCTCATGTCACTTTTGCAGACATCCTTGAAGCAAAGATGAGGTTGCCCTTGTGCCCTCTTACCTGTGGCTAGTTTCCAATACAGAAGGGCCTTCAGAATCCTCCTATCAGTAAACTGTTGCTTCCTGTATTTTGCCGTTGCAGTGAGGTGACGCTGGAATAAGATCAGCAGATGCCCATGCAGCACATCTCCCTTCTCCACATCACTGATGTTGTCCAAGGGAAACAGAGTTCAATAGAGCTTGGCACCAGCATCATTGTAAGAGTTGCCAGAACAAAGTTGAACATAACATTAGACTCTTTTAGAGACTGCAGCTCTGGAATTGTCCTTGATTGGTATGGTCGCAAAGCAGTGGATGTTTAAATTCAGAGTTTTCTTCTTAGGAAACCCACCTTTTCTCTCCACAACTATGGGTTAAATAGCAGGATAAACATGACTCTTTTCACTTTGTTTGACAACCAATCTAGGAGAAGGATATATCTGAACACAAATCTGGTTGGACATGAGGCTCTCAACTTCATCTTTTAAAAACTTATTTGCTATGGAAACTAGAACAGCAATATGTCTGTGTTCCTAGTGTGGTTAGGCTGTGGCTCTATACTCCACAGGGGAGTTTAATAAAGAAGAGATGGAAAATTCAAATGAATATAATAAAATACTGAACTTAACATTAAATAACCCAACAAAAGTTGATATGTTGTAAAATCCACCAACCCAAATCCATGATTGTTTAATATTGCTTTCTGTTTTTTTGTTTTTACATGTAGAAAAGAATCAGAGGATACAGAAAAAAGAAAATTGCTTAAAATTATGAAATCATCTCTTGAGGAACAATTTCTCAATGCAGTAAGTATTTCTTTTAAATATTCCCTAAAACAATGGGCATAACAATGATTTACTGTTCTGAGAGGGAATTTTGTTGGTTTCTTATACTGGCTGCTTTTGCTATGATTGCAATACTGACATATTGTAACTGCAACAACTGCATCTTTGCCATATTGTTACTGCAATGACTGCATCTTTGATGTTGCAACTACAAAGACTGCATCTTTGCCATATAGCAACTACAAAGACTGCATCTTTGCCATATAGCAACTACAATGACTACATCCTTGCCATATTGCTACTGTAACAATTGCACTGTTGCCATGTTGTTACTATAATGATTGTGTTGCTGCTATGTTGCTGCAGTAACAATTATCTTGTGTGCCATGTTGTTACCATTTTTATAACTGTCAAGATTGCATTCTAACCATATGATTACTGTAGCATACCATGTTGTTACCATAATGTTACTGTAGGTACCTTCATTGATTGCTAAAAAAGAGCATAGTCTGATGTTTTTCATCAGACTATGCTCTTTTTGTAGCCAAACTTGACGAAAACAAAATTTTATCATCTAAATGTTTGTTATTATTAAGAGGGAAGACCGAAGTATTTTTTAATTATTTAAAAAAATTTTTCCTTCTTTTTAGAATATTCTAAATTTTGATTTAAAAAAAACCTTGTTTTTCTTTGTATCACCAGAACTAGTAAAATAACATAAATTTTTAGCATGTTTTTTATATGACAGACATTAATTTGGAAAATCTTGCAAAAATAAAAATAATTGTCAGATGTTAATGAAACTTTCAGAAACTATTCACAAATGATGGAAATTATTATATATTGTTTTTTTTTTTAAAGTCATGGGAAAAATATTTTTTTATATTTATTACCTCTCCAACATAACTAATTTTATGAAAACTCCAGAAATTCAATCTCATTCAGTTTAGTGATTATATTAGTTAAAAGCACAAGGCTTTGAGGAAAGCAAATCATGTATTTTTTTTTTAATTGGCCCCCCCCCTCCCCATACAAACACCTGAAAATCAGCTCTGAATTGTAACATACAAAACTCAATAAAACAAAGATATTATTTAATTTCAAATACTTTTATTTGCTTTTAATTGTTTTTATGAATATGGACAATGTTTTCTGAAAGCAAAAAAAATTTTCAATGAAAAATGAATTTTAATACAATTATTTGTTATTTCTTTAATTATAATAGATTTTTACATTTAAGTTGTTAGAATATTATAAAATTAATTGAAAGCCACATTCAGTTTTGTAAATGTCCTTATGAAATAGATCATTCATTATAAATTGTATTTCGTCCAATCAAAAGACCTGCAGTAATTAAATGTAATTTTGTGTTTATAATACGGCTGTAATTATAAAGTATGAATGATCAACAAGAATACAATTAAATGTAATAAATGTACATAAAATTATAGTATTCTATGTACACTACTGATAAAATTTTGTAAGAAAGGTATCTAATTAATTTATAGGTACCTTTCTTATGAAATTTAATGTCACTCTCAACAGTCTTATTTTAATTTTTTTATAATATATTTTCCATAAAGCATTGTAAATGTATAGGTGAAAGCTAAGTACAAAAAAAAATTAGAGCGCTGAAAATTTTCCTTAAAAATAATGAAGTAAATAATTTGTTCACTTAAATCTAAATAATTATATCACATCTGTCCTACCGTACAATAACTTTTCCTCATGTAAACTGTCAATACATGATGGAATCATCACTCATCAACTATCAAGTGATGTGAGATGTTATGACATGCTTTGTTTTATTTTTAAATTACTTCTTTTCGGCACAGAAACTAAGTAATGCTTGTTTCAAAATATTTCAAATAAACATTTAATTTCTAATTTTCTTAAAATTAGTTATGGAAAAATTATAATTGATTTTTAAAAGAGTTTGAAACTGAGATTTTCATTTTTTTTATAAAATGGAAAAAAAATGGTTGACACGATTGATTTTTGCTGATTCAAAAAAACAAGATTTTTAACAAAAATTTCAGATGTGCTAGGAACGATTAAAAAATGTAAAAAAATACCCCCAAAATACTTTGATCTTTCCTCTTAATAATAACATAAACATTTAGATGATAAAATTTTGTTTTCATCAAGTTTGGTGTCTTTTTCATCATGCTATGCTCTTTTTTAGTGATCTCATGAAGGTTACTATAATGATTGCATTGTTGCCATTTTGTTACTGTAACGAATTCATTGTTTTCTTAACAATTGCATTGTGCCATATTACTACTGTAGCAGTTACCATGATGTTACTGTACCAAATCAATTGTCACTATGTTGTTATCATAATGATTGCATGCATTCTTGCCATATTGATTTTATTGTTGCCATGTGTTTGTTGTAACAATTGTACTGTTGTCATATTGTTACCATAACAAATCCATTGTTGCTATGTTATTACCATAATGATTGCATTGTTAATATATTGCTACTGTAACAGTTGGCATGTTGTCACTATAATGATTGTATTGTTGCTGTGTTAACATAACAATTGTATTGTAACCATGTTGTTAATATAATGAACCCATTGTTACCATATTACTACCATTCTTCTATAACAATTGCAATTTTGCAATAGTGTTCCCATAACAATGCTATTGTTGCAATGTTGCTACCATAACAATTGTATTGTTGCAGTGTTGCAGCCATAATGATTGTATTGTTACCATATTGCTACCATAATGATTGCAATGTTTCTACCATAATGATTGCATTATTACTGTGTTACCACCACTATAATTACATTATGAAATTATTGCTGTTTCTGTGTTGGCGTCTTCTGCATGCTGCACAGCTTCTTGTGTTTGTACTCTCTATGCATACTCATATAGAAATTGCCCTGAATACATTTGTTTACATTTTTATCTATTTTATTTCAATTTTTTGTAGAAGCAGGACCACTTGCAGAAAAAAGAAATGTATGCAGTCTTAAAATATGTATGTATTCTTTTATTTATTTATTTTTTTTATTTATGCTGAATCAGTTCAGGCTAATGGCTCAATTTGTTAAGCCTCTCCAGGAAAAGTCAAATTTTTTCTTTTCAAAGGTCTCTAACCCGAAACTATGATACATTAAAATAATTTATTTATGTTATGAAAAATAACTTTTTATTCAATCTTTAAAAAATAAACTTCATTGTTTTTTTTTGGTTTGTTACTAAGATGAAAAAAGTAAATAATTTTAAATTAAGTTTTATTAAAGCAAAAATTATAGCGAGCCTTACTTTTTCAAAAATCAATTTAAATAAAATATAGTTACATTCGTAAAACAAATATTCAGCACAACTAATGTTGCCCATACCCCCTCAATTGTTGCATACAAATATATATATATATATATATATATATATATATATATATATATATATATATTACATATACAGATGCTCTGCTATTTTGACATTGAGCTCTCTTTCTTGGGGTGACTCTTTAGAAAACTCTTTCAGGAGTTATTTTATGTGTTTTAATATATATAAAAGACCTAAAGGCAAACACCTACCTACTCAGTAAAATGCTCAATGCCTAGATTACCTAGGCAGAGCAAAAAATGCTTCACTCCTATCAATCACTATATCATCCACTGTAAATTTGTATCCAGGTTCTTAAAACCTTTAACTTTTCCTGACAGATCTTTTATCACAATGTAAAATATTTAATAACAAAAGCAATGGAAACATTGTTGGAAATTCCACTTTAGTCAGATGAACACTTATAGTTAGAGAAAGGGGTTGAAGTTATATACCCCTAGTTTCTTTTTTTTTTATTGTTGCTATGAGGGTGCACTGTTGTTTTGTCTTTAATAAATAAAAAAAGTCACCGTGTGTTTTAACACAGTACAACATGTGTCTGTTTCCTTCTATGTTATGTCTATGTTTGCTATCTAATTTGATGTGTAAATTTCTAACAGAGATCATGGGCTCAGAATATGCTAAACTTTAAGGACCTTGTGGGTCGTAACTGCCATCTTGAATTTACCACACATGTAAGAAAATTTTGCCAAGTTGTAATAAGATTGAATATAGCAATGGAAACAAAACTTATTAATTTTATGCTATTGAATGGGGCAAATTATGCCACTTGGAAAGTGCAATGCAAAATAGAACATAAAAGATGCAAACTTTTACTCAAAATACCTGTCACAGAAAGATCGTGCCTTGGCGATAATTGTGCTATCAGTCAATCCATCACTTTTGTATTTAATTGGAATTTGGCAAACCAATTTGAAAAGAAAACATGGGCGAACAGTTAGCGTTGATGAGGATATTATGTTCGATTAAACCGAAAAAAGGCGATTCTGTGAGTAGACATATTAAAGCGATGATGGAAATATCTGAAGAGTTGTCAGTCACCAGCAATTACATTGATGAGCAAGATCAAGTTGTACATCTTTTAGCTAGCCTACCAAATTCTTATAATATGTTGGTGATAGTGCTTGAAGCTAGTCAGGATTTGCCTAAGTGGGCATTGGGGACTGAATGACTGTTGTATGAGCAGACAAAGTTTAAAGAAAACAAAAGTGGTAGTGCTGAATCTAAAGCTATGGTGTGAAATCATTACAAAAGTAGACAAAAGTATTACCACTGTGGAAAAAATAGACATGTAAAACATAACTGTTGACTACTTGGTTGTGATACAAAGGTGTTGAATTGGAAAGGGAATTTCTCCAAAAGGAAAGCCTATACCACAATGAAATTGGAAATAGACCCAAGTGACTCAGAAAACTAGCACTCTGTTAGATTATTTGCAAATAATGCATTACTTACTAATAAGCAAAAGAGGAATTAGATTGCAGACTTTGGAGCAACATAATTTGATACAGAAATTTCTAACAAACATAACCTGTGCAAAAAGTTACTAAATGAAATTGGCTGGATTATTTTCATAAAACATATTTAAAAAAAAAAATTTAATTTTAAATTCTCAGTGCACCCTCTCCTTCAGGTTTACATGTAGTCACATCAACATAAACAGCAATTTAATCCAATGAAGTCCTAAAGGCTGAAACCATCCCACAAAAACTTTTTCTACATATATATATATGTGTGTGTGTGTATATATATATATATATATATATAAACAGACCACTTTAAGGTTCCATGTAATAATTATTTCACCACAGCCTTTTAAAGGGCTCTGGATCATCAGACTTTATTTTCAAAGTTTGAAATGAAAAATGAAAAAAATTTACATAATTATTACATGGAACCTTAAAAGTGGTCTGTTTTATATAAAAACAGACCACTTTAAGGTTCCATGTAATAATTATGTAAATTTCTTTTCATTTTTCATTTCAAACTTTGAAAATAAAGTCTGATGATCCAGAGCCCTTTTATTTTTTTATATATATATATATATATATATATATATATATATATATATATATATATATATATAACAGACCATATATAAAAATTATATATATATATATATATAAACAGACCAATGAAAAATGAAAAGAAATTTACACATTTTTGACGGGCCAGATTAATTTGCTCTGAATTTACATTGAGCTCTCTGGATATCATCCTCCTTGGGTCTACCCACACGGATTACCTAGTTTTGCATAAACTATAAACTATATATATATATATATATATATATATATATATATATATATATATATATATATAGATACCAAAAATTTGTATACTTAAGGTTTAAATGTATTTTTCATAAAGGAAAAATCATTTTTCGAAGCTTTCTACCAGCTTCAATTGAAAGCTAAAGGATTAAATTTTCTAATTCCAGAAAAAAAATACCATGGAGTATTTCAAATAGAAATTTGAATGATTTTTAGTCGATTCTTCCAAAAAACCAATCAAAACACCCATTTTTAACTTTTTTAGAAAAATTTAGACAAAACTTATTTTTTCATTTTTGAAAATCCCACTAAAATAAGATATACATTTCTGAAACGTTACTTTTGTAAAAGAAGCAAATTTAAAGTTAAATTAATCTGTTCTGAAATAAATAACACTTACTTATAGCATAAAATTTTCTAGACAAACATTTCTTGACCTTGGTGTGTTATTTTCACGTCACCTTCAATGATTTGATGGCTGAATATGTTGACAAGTTTAGTATGATGCACCAAAATTGGCATAATGGTTTTTTTGTTTCTTTAAAATTTAAAATACTATAAAAATTTCTTACATTATAGAGTTATCTCTATCTCTTTCATTATTTAATAGCTAAGATAATGATAAATAATTTTATTAATCATTGATATTATATTTATTACATTTTTAATTTAATAACTGAGATAATAACTAATAAAATTATTATTATATTAATAATTAAAATATCTCACTCAGTTATTAACTGTTTAAATTGATTTAATTTTTAATTTAATAACTGAGAGTGAGATAATCCCTTTATATGTCAAGGGGATTTCTCCAAGGAGGAGACAAGCCTTGAAACATGTGACCTTTTAACTATAATGTCATTACGAGATATCATACTAAAAAAAAAAATATATATAATCGTAAAAAGTTTTGGTAGCATTATTTGTATTAAGCTTTTAATTTTCACTTAGTAAATATAGTCTTCACTTAAAAACTTAATAACCTACCCCATACTCTGTTTGGAAAAATTAAAAATAATTAAAATAATTCTTGTAAAAATTCTTTATTCATCAATTTTTTTTTTTCTTCAGATAATAATGTCCTTAATGTATATTATTTATAAAAGCAAATAAAAGCCTATCTAATTAGATAATTAGATAGTTTTATTGCAGTTTTTATTTTATGATTTGGAGCAGATTTTTAAAAAGTTGGCAGTAGTGAAAAAAAAAAACTGATGATCTAATTTCTCCAAGGACTCCTGCTTATAAGTAATATAAAACAATTTGTGAACTGTTTGAAATTCTAGAAAATTTGATAAAATTAAGTTATAGGAGGGTAACAGATGTAAAAAAAAAAAAAAAAAAATATTTTTACCAAGATTTTCTAAAAATAAAAATTTCAAAAATAAATTAGTTTATTTTTGAATAAGTCCTGAAAGTTTCATCTAAATCAGACAATTATTTGATTTTTACAAGAATTTCAAATTTTAATTTATCCCACCAGGCATTTCCCACAACCGCTCCCCCAATTCCCTCTGTATCATTAGTAGAAGCTGGTCCCGAAATCTTGCTCACCAAATAATGATGAGTTTAATTTCCAGTAGCCAGCCATCCTAACCTTAGGCTTATCTAAGTTTACACGGACCGGACAAGCCTATGATCCGAATAAACTATCTCATGGAAACTTGGACACCCTAAGAGCCCTACATCGACTCTCCTAACTAAGACTCGGTCTAGATAACTAGCCGAGCCGCCACTATTTGTCCAAGTCCACACTACCTCCCGAGGATGTTCATTTTCGGTACTTATCGACAAGATCAAACCTGTCGATAAAGTCCCGAAATGGTTTCACGTCCCCGGTTGTTAGTACCGAATTTGTCCCTATGCGATCTATATCGGGATCAAGGACGGCATTCCAATCACCCACTAAAACTACCCGATGTGATGTCGTCCAAAACTGCTCGATCTGCGAAACAAGGCAGGCAGCTCAGAAATGGACATTGGGCGATAAACCCCAATGAGACGCAGAGCCTTATCCTTTATGGTAACATCCAGCACGCAGTTTTCTGCCCGCCCGGATCCGCGAAGACAAGAACACACGCAGCCTTCAATGACTTGCTCACCAACCAAGAGACACCCCTCGGCGTCCATCAAAACATGCTGAATAGAGGAAAACCCCTAGACAGAATGTTCTCATAGTCACGAGAAGAAAACGGGTCTCTTTGTACACAACAGATATTCACCCCGGAGACGCTGAAGATCGCGAGAGAGCCTCGCCCTGCGAGACTCGGACCTCAGGCCTTGGGCATTCATACTTGCTAACCAGAGAGCCATGATGGAACCGATTAGGGTTGCTCTCCTGCATTGAACATGG